GATTGTTAGAGGTTTCTTTTCCCTGTTACTAATCTTGTTTCTGGAGACATTAACTTTTATAGTATGGGTGGGAAATATCAACTTTTTAAAATATCTCACCTAGAGATAATGGTCTTTAACTGACTCAATAATGTTTGCTGTAAATTTTTTTCTCCTGCTTTCTAAAAGAAAGCATGGTAATCGTGTGCCATTAAAAATTGAGTTATATCCTCATAGATTCATACCCTGACAAGCCTTATGCTGGTATTTCCAATTGGACAAATGAAGCAAAGTTAATAGATGAACTTTAACGCATTCAGTGTGTTTAATGACAATTAATAGATTGTTAAAGTATGGTCAATGAGAGTTTGATAAAATGTGAAAATTTTTCTATACAGCATTTTAAAAGGCTGTATACGGAATTTTTGCAATTTTCATAAACTAAAATTTGAAATGATTTATGTAATCTCGTGTATCTTCCACTCTTCTCATGACCAATGACTCTAAATTGGTGCCCATAGACTCTAATTGGTGTCCTGACTTGTCCTTCATTGTGGGCCCATGTCCTAGAACCTAGTAAACATACCAAGTATTCAACCATTTAGAGAGATTTGCTCTCCTTGTCCCAGTGTCCATCATTTTTTTCTGGTTCCTTAGGCAGGGTTGGATTTCTAACCAACTTCCCCATGTCTATGCTGGGATTTTTTGAGCTGTCTGTTTTGAGCTTCCATGAGAAATATGCATGCTGTCACCATTTCTGTGAGTTTATCTGTGAGTTCATATGAGTAACTGACCAGCTCTATGGAAAACTCATTTCCTGTGATCATCTAGCATCTCTGGCTCTAAGAATTTTTCTGTTCCCTCTTCCATAATGATTCCTGTCTTTCTGGAGTCAGAATTTTGAAGTGTCCTATTTAGGGATAAAGACTGTGCAGACTCTGGCTTTCTGCACATTGGCCCATTGTGGGTTTCTGTGTTAATCAGCATCTGCTGCATAAAGATCCTTTGTTGCTGAGAGCTCAGAAATGCATTCACATATGGGTATAACAATAAGTCAATAGGTGTCATAATAAAATAAGAAGTTCAATAAGGTTAGAGAATGGTTGGGCTTGGCAAAGAAGGGGCTACAGAGAAGGGTAACTAACACTAAAGCCTTCAGAAAAAGTCATATGAAAACCTACCACTATAGAAGCTTCTTTAAGTATATTCATATATGTATAGAAAGAGATTAAAACAGGTACTTATTACAGGGGAACATTGCCCCTACTAAGCACTATAGGCTAACAAAGTGAATCCCCACTGCCAGCAATGCACGCCTTCTCTTGAACTGTTGACTAGGATCTCCAAAAACCCTCAAGCACAATTGGCCATTTCACTTGCTTTTGTTTACCCACAACAAAGTAATGGTAAGACCTCATTCCTGAAGACAGAGTATAAGTGGCTTTTATAGCACTCAACGAGATTCTTCTCATTCCTATATGCCTATAATTTGTAGATTTTCTCATTTCATGTAGTCCCACATTTCCTAAGTATTCCATTCCTGTTTTTTTTTATTTTAATTTTGCATAGCCTTTGCTTAAGGAGCCCAGATCATCAACTTTGTCTTCCAGTCTTGATACTCTGTTTCCATTTCATTCCTTATGCTTGAGGATTTCTCCTGTTATTTCTTTTTTTTTTTAATTTATTATTCTTATTTTAGGTGTTTACTTGTATTGCCCTCATGTAGATGGGAGAACCCATGTCATGCAATGCCCATGGAGGACAGAAGAGGCTGTTGGGTCTCCTGGGACTGGAGTTATGGACAGTTGTTAGCTTCCCATGGAGGACAGAAGAGGCTGTTGGGTTTCCTGGGACTGGAGTTATTTATGGACAGTTGTTAGCTGCCATGTGGGTACTGTAATTCAAACCAAGGTGTTGTGTAAGAACCACCAGTGTTCTTAACTACTAATCCATCTCTCCAGTTCCTACTCCTTTTTTGTTTTAAACAAATGATTTATTGAGAATTTCATACATGCATATAAGGTGTTTTGAATAAATCCATGCCCACTCCCTCCCCCTCCAACTCATCCCATATCTCCCCATAACTTTTTTTTTTTTTTTAACTTCATGTGCTCTTTCTTCTTCTTTGGTTTATTTATATTTTTTATGGGGCTTTTGGCTACTCTAACATTCCCCCTTCTGAAGAAGTAACCCTAAAATCTTTTAACAGTTAGATAAAAGTTCCCAAATATTTTCAACATTTTTAGCCTTTGGAACAGAATAGGTTGCTAAGAGGTCCAACGATATTGTGAGTTTTATCCAAGAAACTGGCAACTTTTCTTTGCGGTATTTTTATACTAACTACCTAGCGAATTCCTACCTCCTATTCTTATCACACCATGCTCTGAAGAGGTTACACAAATTGCCAATAGGGAATTGGGACACAGACTGCTCTGGTGTCTCATATGCTGAACAGAGACACAGGGTGAGGCAATTGGAGGACCCCTTCAGCAGGTTTATCAAAGACTCCCAATTGTATATGTCTTATCGTGAGGAGGAAAAGAAAGTCTTTGAATTGTGAATAGGAGATGTGAAGGAGAAGTAAAGGCAAGAGTAATTAGCATTACAAGTTCTAGACAGGGAACTAGAAAAAAGTCAGAACAGAGCAATTTTCAAATGTTCATATGAGAGTCCATTTAATTTCTTGACAAGGACTTCCAAAAGCATCCCTCTATTTTCATGAGGATGCTAATCAATGCTTATTCCCTTTCAAGGTTCTAGTGTCAAGCCAATGTTTGATTAAAGTTTTACTGGGGAACCAATGAATTTATGGTTTATTGAGTTTTCAGTTCTGTGTTCATTTCTGTTTGGGTTTTCTTCCCTATTTCTACCTCTTTCGGGAATTTGATTTTCATGTTATTGTTTCTGGTATTTCATTAAGCCTCAAGTTATTATATTCTTGGGCTTCCATCATAAGTTAATGCCTTTCTCACTCTTTGAGTTCTTCGAGTTGTTTGTCTGAGTTTTCTTGAAGTCCTTTGATCATATTTATGATTCTTCTTTTAATTTCTCTGTCGTGGGGTTTTTCTCAGTGGTTCTAGATGCTGTGCTCTTCTGTAGGAATATTGGATATTGTTGGGGACATTATTTCTTGTTTTTTTTATATTGTTTTGTGTTTTTGCATTGCCCTTTAAGGACATGGTCTCCCATGACTTAAAGGGCAGATTGCCTGGAACTTTCTATGTTGACTATGCTGGCCTTGATCTCACAGGGATTCCCCTGACTGATTCCATAGTGCTGGGATTAAAAGTTTGCCACCAAGAAGCCAGGCTTGCCTCTTTATTCTGAAGAGGTTCATTTCATTAATTGGAAGTATATTCCATGGACTAGCAAGCAGATACAATGGAGAAAGATATGCTAAAATGAAGCACATTAGTAAACCTTGAAGTCATGAAATTTTGAACTAGAAATAGGGTAGGAACATTAAATATTCAAAGAGATTTTTTAAAGTGAAGTTCACCCAGTGAGTTACTGTCCCAGTACACAGACCTACACACAACTTCTTGACACATAGTCAAGGATGTGCTTTCAACTTTTTGCTATCCTGCACAGTGAAATAGCAGACAGACAGACAGACAGACAGGCAGACACACACACACACACACAAACAGCCAGAAAATAAAAATAAGTATATATGAAAAAAGGTGCAGAAAGGATTGGGTCTTCTTAACAGAATTATGGTAATATAAGGAATGATAAATGAAATTACTAATGGAGCAAACACTCTGAACACAGCAGATGCTGTTCTTTGACAGTTTATGTAAACAGATCAATGAACAATGGCTGGGATTTCAGTTCTTCAAACCTAGAACTTGATATCCAAAGAGGTAACAAAGAGATTAAGGCAGAGTCTTAACTAGGAGAAAATTTAAAAAATTGTGTAAGTCTCAGAAAGGG